TTACAGGCTTGAGCCACCGCGCCCGGCTTCTTTTTTTTAAGTTGAGATGGTCCCAGCACTTTGGGAGGCCGAGACGGGCGGATCACAAGGTCAGGAGATTGAGACCATCCTTGCTAACATGGTGAAACCCCATCTCTATTAAAAAATACAAAAAACTAGCCGGGCGAGGTGGCAGGCGCCTGTAGTCCCAGCTACTCAGGAGGCTGAGGCAGGAGAATGGCGTGAACCCGAAAGGCGGAGCTTGCAGTGAGCCGAGATTCAGCCACTGCACTCCAGCCTGGGCGACAGAGCGAGGCTCCGTCTCAAAAAAAAAAAATAAATAAATAAAATAAATAAAATAAAAAAAAAGAAAGACACCTGGAGAGGGAGGTCCATAGCTAGTGCCAGAGAGACACAGTATTGGGACCTTCTAGGATACATTCCTGCTTCAAAACAGGACTCTTTTCTGTCTCTGGCTCCCAGATGTGAGGGCTGGGGGGTTCCTGGCACTTCCCTCCCGTCCCCCAGCAACTTCCTCTCACAAGAAGCCTTCTCTGATTACTGCTAGTCTGCTCCACATACACAGTGAAATTGACCCAGCAAAAGCTCTGATCCCAACTCCAAATGTAGATTTATTGAAGAAACGCAGAGAGGTAGGCTGTTTGACCATGGGAGAGCCACTTCACCCTTCTGAATCAGTTTTTTTCAACCATAAAACGGGAATAAGGTAGAATGACGATCTCACAGTGCTGTCTGTGGCAACTGAAACCAAAGGTGATAATGAGGGGAGCTCAGGACAGGCTGTTTCTCCAAGAGGAGTGTGAAGAAGTCCCGGGACAGGGTCCAGGAATCAACATTTTGACAGCATCCCAGGGGTCTCTAAGAACATATTACGGGCAAACACTTGTAGAGCACTTCAGTTAATCCTCAATCACTGTTACGAGGCAAACACAATCATCTCCGAGTGAAACTGAGGCTCACAGGGGCGGGCTCAGTTGCCAAAACTCACACGGAGAGAGAGAGAAGCACCACGGTTCTATATCCAGGTTATTTAACAGAATTTAACTCAGCCATCCAAGCTCTGAAAAACCCCAAGTGGGGAGGGGCTCAAATACCCCCTCACGCCCCGTCCCCTACAATACGGGGAAACTGAGGCACAGACCGGGCAACGCCCAGCTCCAGGTTACACGACACACCCAGAACACAGGCGGCCCCAATTTCTATGCCCCTGATCCGGATCCAGATCCAGCCCGCGGCGCCGCCTGCGTATCCATTGAGCAGACGGGGAAACTGATGCCTGTGCGCAGCAGGAATGACCAGATGTGGCCAGCGGCGCACCCCATCCCACCGCAGCCCTGGGGCCGCGCCCGACCCGGACCGGTTCCCCGAGGCCCTGGAGTCCCCAGCCCCACCCCAAACTCGGCCCCGGCGTCGGTAGCGGCGGCACCTGCACATCTGGCGGCCTTGCTCGCGCTTCCGGGATGGCGCCCGCGCCGGCGCAACGTCACCACGCACCGATCGTGCGAGCGCGCGTGGCGGCGGCGTATCCTGGAGCCGCTTGCGTGCGTGGAGTCACGACAGGAAAAGGCGGGGCTTAGACGGAGCTGCAGCTCGCGGGCGCGTCACAATGAATAGCCAATCAAACAGTTCGTCTCGCGCCTGCGTATTACTTCAAAGCAGCCCGGAAGAAGGCAGGCTGAGAAGTGTCCCATTTTTATAGATGGTGTTACTGACTGGCGTCCCAGAGCGGTAACCCTCCCCAAGGTCGTAAATGCTACAGTGGTCAGCGACCAAACCACACTCAGGTGTCCTGCTTTCCAGGCAGGGAATCAGACTCATCTGTGTTCAGACAAACCTGCTCCACTTTTGCTGATTTTAGTCTTAAATTTCCTTTTTTTCCCCAGGCAGAGTTAAGCTCTTGTTGCCGAGGCTGGAGTACAATGGCGCGATCTTGGCCCACAGCAACCTCCGCTTCCCAGGTTCAAGCGATTCGCCTACCTCAGCCTTCCCGAGCAGCTGGAATTACAGGCATGAGCTACCATGCCCGGCTAATTTTGTGTTTTTAGTAGAGACAGGGTTTCTCCATGTTGGTCAGGCTGGTCCTGAACTCCCGACCTCAGGTGATCCGCCCGCCTCGGCCTCCCAAAGTGCTGGAATTACAGGCGTGAGCCACCGCGCCCAATCCTGGTTTCCATTTACACTTCCACGTTGTTTTGGAGGAATGCGCTGGGGAATTTTTTAAAAAGGGTTTACAGGATGGGCGCAGTGGCTCACATCCTGTAATTGTAACCCGAGCACTTTGGGAGGCCGAGGCAAGTGATTCTCCTGCCCTCCAAGCCTCCCTGATAGCTATGATTACAGGCACCTGCCACCAACGCCAGGCTAATTTTTTTTCTATTTTTAGTAGAGACAGGGTTTCACCATGTTGGCCTGTCTGGTCTCAAACTCCTGACCTCAGGTGATCCCACCGCCTCGGCCTGCCAAAGTCTGGGGTTACAGGTGTGAGCCCACTGTGCCCGGCCCTGTTTGTTTTTTTGAGACTGGTCTCACTCTTGTTGCCCAGGCTGGAGTGGGATTCTTGGCTCACTGCAACTCTGCCTCCCTGGCCTCAAAAGATCCTCCCACCATCAGCCTCTTGAGTAGCTGGGAACCACAGGCTCGGGCCACCAGCCCAATTTTTTTTTTTCCCCAGTTGTAGCTGTGAGGCATTTTATTACAGAAATCTGGTACTCGTATACACAAATCAGTATGAACTTAAAATTCATCATACATTTTCTTCCTTTTTTTTTTTTTTTTTTTTTGAGACAAAGTCTCACTGTTGCCAGGCTGGAGTGCAGTGGCGCCATCTCGGCTCACTGCAACCTCCGCCTCCTGGGTTCACCGCATTCTCCTGCCTCAGCCTCCAGAAGTAGCTGGGACTACAGGCGCCGGCCACCACGCCCGCCTAATTTTTTGTATTTTTAGTGGAGCACGGGGTTTCACCGTGTTAGCCACGATGGTCTCCATCTCCTGACCTCGGGATCTGCCCCCACCTCGGCCTCCCAAAGTGGTTGGCATTACAGGCCGTGAGGCCACCGCGCCCGGCCCATTTTCTTCATTTTTAGTTTGCCTTCTTTTTTTTGAGACATGTCTTGCTCCTATCGCCCAAGCTGGAGGTGCAGTGGGTGCGATCTTGGCTCACTGCAACCTCTGCCTCCCAGATTCAAGCGATTCTCCTGTCTCAGCCTCCTGATACTGGGATTACAGGCCTCCACCAGGCCCGACTTTTTTTTATTTTTAATTAACAGAACGAGGTT